GAATCATATTGATTGGAATCTCATTTTTTTTTTTTTTTTTTTTTTTGATTCACTTTCTGATTTAAAGTATAATTAATCTGATTTGAAACAAATATTTACTTTAAATTGAAAATAACAAAGATATGGATTCTTAAAACAAAAAGTAGTGGTAATTTACACACTTTTCATTGTCTGTCAATAACTTAACAAGTGCTGGAAGGTGTTGACAGATAAATTTCTTGTCCTACAGAGACTTTATTTCTTAAAACATAATTTAAGAAAATGATGGGTGAGTGCCTTTTTTATATAATTTTTAGTTAGTAATCTTAAAAAATGTTGGAAAATATTCCCCCGTAATCTAATTTAAGGAATGTTGACTTTAAATATAATATAGTCATCACTCTTATTTTCTGATAATGTCATGTATGGTCAATCATACTTTCAAACAGGGGCATGTTGTGTAATATTTTACATACATAAAAAAAAAAAAAAAAAAAAAATTTTTAATTATTTTAAAAATCTTGGTGCAAAATTATTTGTATTAAGCTTTTCAATTGTTGATTAGTAAATATAGTTTTCATCGAATAACAATATCACCTTACACAATTAAAGTAATGTAGAATTTTAAATAATTTACATATTATAATTAAAAAATTATTATAATTAAAAAAGAAAAAAGTGAAAACAGTTCTTGTAAAAATTAATTCTTCATCAAAAAAATTTTTCCTAAAATAAGTGTCCTTTATAAAAGCAATAAAAAGCTTTTCTAATTGAATAATATCATAGTTTTATTGCATCATAAAATAATCAAATAGAATAATCTGAATTGTAAAATAAAGTCTTACTATTCAAGGCAGATTTTCTGAAAATGAGTAATAGTTTGAAGAAAAATTGTGCTACATTCTCCGAGGAGTTCTGCTTTAATTAATAAAAAAAATATATTTGTGATTGAAACTTAATCTGTTGAAGTTTCATGAAATTTAGTAGGGTAAGTGGTAACATGTTTAAAAAAAAAAAAAAAATTCATTTGTGAATCAGTCCTGAAACTTTCATTAAAATCTAACAATTATTTAATTTTTTGTAAGAATTTCCAAATCAATGTTTTTCATCTTGGAAAAAAGGTAACTAAAACACTAATTGTAAATATTACATAGACCACCGATATAAAAATACAAGATTTTTATTCAAAATTTCAGACGTGCTAGAACTGACCAAAAAATTTAATAATAAAAAAAAATTAACATTAACACATTTTTCACAATAAAACTTTGTTTTTAGGGGGGGGGCTTTTTTGATCATGTTGTGCCTCTTTTTTCTTTTTCTCGGCAAAAAAGTGGCGGTACCTACACTATTTAGAGCAGGTTTTCTTTAACTGGGGGAACTGCTTGACCCCAAAACTTTGACTTATATACTGCAAGGACTTGTCCTTATAACTAATATAAACATTAAGCACTATGAAAAAGAATTTCTCAAAATTAAATGTGTGAGGGGTGTGTGTATATATATATATATATATATATATATTTTTATTTAAAAAATTACAAAAATGTAATCTATTAGTGAATAAGTCCTGAAAGTTTTATTAAAATTAAATGATTTTTGCAATTTTCAAATCAATGTTTTTCATCACAAAAAGATGCCCAAACTTCTGTACAAATTTAAAGTAATTTGGTTATTAAAAATCCATTTAATATTTATTTATTTTATATTTAATCTATTAATTTGGAATTAAAACTAAAATAAAAGCTTCAAGAAAAGTTTTTTTTTTTTTTTTTTTTTTTAAATATATGCATTTTTGTGTGTGCACAATCTCTTTTTCTCTTAAAAAAGAGTGTATACAATTAACCAAACATTATTTCTGCCACACTCCTCTACCACATATCTTCTGGACTGTGTTCATTCCAAGATTATATCCCATGAAGTGTGAGCTTGCCCCCCCTCCCCGTATCAGTATCTTTTATTTGTTAAACTATAGTATCCTAGCTTTAGCCATCTAGCATTAAGCCTTACCTTTTTCTATTGATTTTTATTCCTCTTTAATTTTGCCTTTGATTTAAATTAGTGACAATTTTGATTTCTAGTTACTTTGTTAATCTCCTTGAGGAAAGGGAGTTACTTGGAATAAATTTACGTAGATGAGTTGGCGTTTTTCAGCTATGACCTATTGGGAAGTCTACTTTCACATGTTACAAATTTGAAGGTTCTTGAATTTACTCAACCGATAGCAGTTGGTTGAAAATACTCATTGATATGTTTACTACTACATCCACAAATTTTCAATCCATTTAGATTTTATTTTTGACAGCTTTTTCCTGAAATCTGTCATTTTTAAGAGATTTATATTGATCCTCTTTTTGTCTGGCTCTTTGACATGCCTTTAAAATGTTAACTTGCTAAGTATTTTAATTATTCAATTTTGTATATTACTACACAGTGGCATCAATGGGTAGTTATATTCAATTGATGTATTTGACATATATTAGTCCAGTCTTTCTTTGTTTTAAGTATGCTTAAAAAGCATTTTAAAATTAAAATAAGACCAACTATTCTCTCCACCCTGGAAAAAGAAATCTGATTGGATAAGTTTTTAAATAAACTTGATTTCTGTGTTTTTAATTTCTCTAATAAGTTAGATTTAAAATGTTTTTTTTTTCTTTAGCCTTGTTATCTTCTAAAAATCAGTAAATCTTATGCCTTATATAAAGAAAATTGGTATTTTATGCCAGTACCATCAGTGCTGATTTCTATTATGATTGTGGATATATATAAGGAGACTTGGATAAGGTAACAAATACAGAGAAAAATGTGTTCATTAACACATGCCAAATGGCCAAGTAATAATTAAGGAAACCTAAGACACTTCTGGACTTGAAAAGGACTCTGCTGAGGACATTAAAAACAAGAAACTATTTAATCATCACCAAATAACTTAAAAACAGTTTTGCAAGCAAAAACATTGCCAAACATTAATTGTGGGAGTGATCTTTTCTCAGTCATAGGTGAAGTAAAATTATAGAATCCCAGAGCACTGTCCAAAATCATCCATTTGTAAAGAAACCTATACAATTATAGTTAAGAACAAATATGAATCTTTGGAACAGGGAAAAGAATTCAAAGTGGATCATTTTTAAAGCACCACTATTGACAACAATAAAAGTCATCCTTAAAAAAAAAAATGACAAGTGAAGTTCTTGGCACTGTACTGTTCTGTACACTGAGATGATTCCAAGGGGACATTTTAGGATTTATTATAAGAATATATGCTAATGCAGATAACGCTGTCATTGAAAGATTCATAAAGAAAATTGAAAACTTATTAGATAAGGTAGTCAATGAAGTAAGAAGCATGGACTGTAAAAAAAAAAAAAAAAAAAAAAAATTCAGCCAAAGGAGTTGAGTTACATATCGGGAACGTCAAAATGAAACCAGTGTGCAAAGTTAGCTATCTAGGCTGTGTAGTAACAGACAATGGAAATTGTGACACTGAAATCCAAAAATGAATAGGAATAGCAAAGAATGCTTTTTTAGAAACTGTGCAAGTTATTGAAAAATGTTTTTTCAGAAACAAAGAAAAGGGTGCTTGACTGCTATGTAATATCTAATGTCCTCTAGGGCACAGATTGCAGATAATTTTGTCACGGATGAAGAAATGGTTTGCAGCAACAGATGTCTTAAGAAACTAATGTTAGGAATTCAATGAATAGAGTCTGTGAGAAAAGAGGATATTTTAAGAATAAGAATTACAAAAAAAAATTGTTGGTAGCAATCAAAAAGAAACATCTAAAATTTTATGATGCGTACTAAGGAAAGAAGACTTGTTGAATTTAATGCTCCATTCATTGGGCATATTGAAAGAGATGCGGGGGGGGTAAACAGCAAGTAACTGGCTTGACAAGTATAGGAAACTTGGTGGTTTAAAAAAAATAAAAATGATTTGGTTTATTTTACTACTTTTTTTTCTTTTATATTGCAGAAGGCCAATTTATATTTAAGAAAAAGAGTGGGGTGGAGGTGAAAATAATACAAACATTCATTAACATGGAAGATATTTTTGCTTTGGGAGATGTTTTAAGAAGGGAGGAAAAAAACATTTTCTGGTTGCCAAACTCTTAGAAGCCTTAAATAAATGAGAATGTGCAGAGGTAGCATATCGGTTATTAATGCAGAAAGTGGAAACGGTGATCAGTCTTTCATGTTAAGTTTTGGAAAATATGTATGACTCTTCTCTCCTCTCAGCTATAGGTAGGCTGAACTGACTGGTCTTGACTTGCAACCAATGTAGGAGAAGGACAATTCTTAATTAAAAATTCTTTAAAAAAAAAAAAAAAAAGAATACATTTGAATAGGCAACAAAAAAAACACTCCTATCTTTCCCAAGAACTTGTGGCGATTTACACATGTGAAAGGGAAGAAAGTTATAAATAACCCTTGATTGCCCTTGTCTTAAAGAGACCTGGTATTAAAAAAAATAAATAAATAAAATTGGCAAGAGAAAAAGAAACCCTCATAATTGAATTGTAAATATTTTAATTTTTCAAAATTGTGCAGAAGAAATTTGGCTAAAATGCAGTGACATGTCTGGGTTTTTTTTTTTTCCTCTTGCTGGTTATTATTGTTAATTACTGACAATTTGATTTCAAAGAAATTAGTTGTTGAATATTCAAACATTTTGTGAGCTTAAAACTGTTTAATGAAAGGAAAGTTCTTTCTTTTTACTAGTTATAAAATTTATGGCATTTAAAATTTGCTCATGACACATTTAAGTTTCAGTTGTAAAATTAGTAATAAATTTTAATATTTTACACATTAATATATTTCTTCTTTAAGTTAAAATGAAAATAAAATTGCCTAAAACTAATCTTTAAAAAGTGCAAACATTTACATGACTTCTAGTAGAATTAACACAACTTGGACTTTTTTCTTTTCAGCATTGTTCCTTTTTATTCTTTTTTCAAAACTGTTTTCTTATGGCATTTTTTTAGGGAATATTTGGTGTTTAATGAATTTTTTTTTTCTTGCAGTTCTTTGTTCAAAGAACCTTACAAGAAAGGATTTTTTTAGTAAGTATAAAATATATATATCTTTATTTTATTTTTTCTGTTCATAGAAGTTAAATTGATTTTTGTAGATTTGAGTAATTTTACTGTATATTTTTATTTTTTTTATCATAAAACACTGAATTTATTTAACTATTAAAGCAAGACCTATAACATGTAGAAATTAATCCTTTAATGTCAGATTAACATTGTTTTATGAATTTGTGTTATGGAATCTTAAAATATTAACTGAGCTTTTACAAATTAGAAATTACATTTCATTTACTTGTCTGTTTAAACCTTTGAATATTTTATTTGTCTTATGTTAAATAAATGATATGACAATTGTTTAGTCCTGTAACCTGGAGTTTTTTTTTTATACTGGACTTTCATCTCTGAAGACGTGAGGGTTAGGGGAGTCCCTCTTTCACAGTGCTCAACTCCAAATACTGTATTACTATGTTATTATATGGTATCCACAGCAGGACACAATGTCCCTGACCTCTCTTCTCTATCAACTTTTGTGGCATACCAATGTCTCAAAACTCTCTTTTCAATAGGTTTGCTGATGGAATGCAAAATGAATACAAGCAACAGTTTCAGCTAGAATTTTAAACTCTTTTTGAAATATAATCTTCAGAATAAGTCTGCAACTTAGGACGGTTCTATATGTGGTCAAAATTTAATCCTACTCCTAGTAAAATTTCCAGTTCATGTTAACCTATTTTTCTCCTGCTGAAATATCAGCTGTGTACATAACTAGTTTCTTACAAGAACAGACTAGAACTAAATCTTTTTATATATTGCTTAATAACATTGTTTCAAATTGAGTGATGACTTGTTAAGGATGTTCGCTTAACCTCTATATTTGGAATTCAAAATGATAGCAATTTAGTCACCTACATTCTATTTTTCATTTCACTTCAACATTTGTCAAACTTATTTACTTAATCTGCCATTATTAATAATGGTGACACTTAAACATAGTTGTTTCTTACTAGTTTTTAAAAAATGCAATGTGAGTAAATGGTTATTTTCCTATACAAAATTATTTCTACAGTTCCTTTAATATTAGCATTGATCTTATCAAATAAATGCAGACATGAAAATTATGTATCTCTTTGTCATACTGTGTATTTAAATTGATGGGATTCAAAATAGGTAACATGCATTAACTAGTTTATTATGGGACAATATTTTTTGTAAAATGACAGCTGCTTTCATGGATTGTTTTTCATTGTCAGAATTATTTAACTGACCTGGAATTTTAGATTTAAAATTAACTTTAAATGTTTCTTGTAAAGTAATATATTGTTTCTTGCTTCTTCTTCTTTTTTTCTTTTCTTTTTTTTTTATAGTAACTTAGATTACTGCATAAAACATTCAGAGAATGTGTCTGTGTGTGCATGCACGAAGTGAAAAAATATAGATTAAATCTTGATATCTCCACAAAAAGATACCTATGGTTTAAAATGGATTTTAAAAAATGCAAAATCTTTCTTGAAGCTTTTAGTTTAATTTTAATTTCAAGCTAATAGATTAAATTTAATATTTCCAATAAGCAAAATATTTTACTGTATTTTGTTTCAAAAACTTATTTAAATTAACTTGAAGTGGTTCAAATTTTTTTTTTTTTTTTTTGCTAAAATAGCTGATTAGTGCATTTTTTAGCTGCCTTTCATTGTAATGTATTAAAGTTTTCCAAAAATAAAATATACTTTTCCGAAATTTTGAGGAATATTAGCTGATTTAAAGTATAATTAATCTGATTTGAAACAAATATTATTTACTTTAAGTTTAAAATATCATAAAAATGCATTTTTTAGCCCAAAAGCAGCAGTTTGTTTTAACGTGTTGACAACCTGATGACAGATCTAATGGTGTTCTATGGAAACTTTTATCTGTAAAACATAATTGAAGAAAATGATGGGAGCACCTTTTCTATATAATTTTTAAATACTCAGTAATCTTAAATTTTAGAAAGTATTCTTAGTAATCTAATTTTAGAAATGTTGACTTTAATTTTACTATAGTCCTTACTCTTATTTTCTGATAATGTTGTGTATGGTCACCTATACTTACAAAAATGGTCCCATTTATACACACAAAAAAATTCTCTCAATTCTTTTAAAAATATTAGTGTTTGATGATTTGTATTAAGGTTTTTCCATTTATGATTAGTAATGTTTTCACTTAATAATATCTAAAAGGCTGAAATTAATACAGAATCTTAAGATTTAAAGCTTAATAAATTTTGGTATCTATCTATATTTCTGAGATGAAGTATTATGTACATTATTTGGACTATTGTCCTCATCTTTGTCGCCATATTTATTACAACATTTCGGCTGTTGTACGCTCCAGCCTTCTTCAGGTGGTTGGAATGTCGAACTTAACCCTTTATTTCGCTCACTGGGGTAGACTGTTCTAATTCCACATGTCATGTTTAATGGTTGTCAGTTATCAGTTATCTCCTGTTAATTTCCCTCTGAAAGTTCTCCACTGCCTTAACCGAGTATTGAACTCGCACTCTTTGGGTCCTGTCACTGGATCTAACCAACGCCTTTATCCACTGTACCATGTGTCCTTGAGAACAGTCTACCCCAGTGAGCGAAATAAAGGGTTAAGTTCGACTTTCCAACCACCTGAAGAAGGTTGGAGCGTACAACAGTTGAAATGTTGTAATAAATAAGGTGACAAAGATGAGGACAATAGTCCGAATAATGTTAATAAATTTTTCTAATTAAAATTTTAAAAAAATGAAAACAATTCTTGTAAAAATTTATTATTAATTGAAAAAATAATTTCTTAATTTCTTTATAGTGTTAATATATCTTATTTATAAAAGCAGTTAAAAGCTTTTCTAATTAAATAATATCAGTTTTATTGCATTTTTTATGATTCAGAGCAGATCTTCCGTAAATGGTGTTTCTATTTGACAAAAACAAATTAATGGTTTAAATTCTCCAAGAAGTCCTGCTTTTTAACTAATATAAATATAAAGAGGCTGAAATTTTAATTTTTTTTTGAAAGTTTGAGTAACAGATAAAAAAATTTTATTTTTTTTTTAATAATTTAATTCATTTATGAATAAGACCTGAAAAGCTCATTAAAATCTGACAATTATTTGATTTTTGCAAGATTTTCTAAACTATGTTTTTTACCACAAAAAGGACACTAAATTTACCATACTGCTGACACAAAAAAAAACCTTTCCTGTTAATAATAACGTAAACATTTTGATGATAAAGATTTATTTTTATAAAGTTCAGGGATTATGTCACTAAAATAAAAGTGAAAACGTGTGTGTGTAATAAATATATATATATAAATTTTATAGGGGACACAATTTTTGCATTTACTGTTGCCTATTTTCGCTATACATCATCTAAATTGAATCCCCTGCAATTCACTTATTGATTTGTACATGCATGCACACGTATTGTCTGTCTACTTGCAGTGGGCTAAAAGGCTGACTACCTGATTGTATTTTATTGACTATAATTGAGTTGCACATAAAAAAAGTTTCTTTGTCAATCCTCTTTTTTACAATCTAATGTAATTTTGCTAAAAGGTCTATTATCTGTTTATCTTTTAGAGTACTTTCTTTTTTTCATTTAAAATTCACTGATCTAAATAATTTTTATTTTAAAATAGTTTTTTTTTTTTTCAACTCCTCAGAAAGTAAGTTATTTAATAATGATACTCGTTTTTGTGTGTTCATTTCTTAAAAGGTATTCAGTAAATTCCTTTGTGCTTAGAATGTTTTAAGTGTATATTGAACAGAAGCATATTTGATCAGATAGAGAATTAAATTTTTTTTTTTTTTAATATTCCAAAGTTCTTGTCTACAATATCTTTTAATATTTGGGAAATTTTAAAGTCTTTTTATGTATAATACATAAAATGACTTTCTTTCCTCTTTTATCTGAACTATTATTTGGTATTTTTTTGCATGTGTGTCTATTTTTAATATATGGAAATGTTTTCTATATACAAAACATTTACATGGAAGAATAAGTTATGTGATTCAACTCAAAAGAAATATTATATAATTTCTGTATATATTTGCTTTTTACCATTTCTGCACTGAAATTATCATAAATTATCATTCAGAAAAAAAAAGAAAAACTTCAATGGAATTTGCATGTTGTTCAATTGTTACCTTTTCTTTTCTTTTTTTTTTCTTTTTTTCCACATTTCAATGACTTGTTTTATTTTATTTCTACACTTAAGAATTGTAATAACTTTTTGTTTTTAAATTTTGATTGTTATCAAATATTCTTGGTGAAGACTATCAGTTTTTCTCTTCACTCCATCTTTTTGCTTACTAAGTTTAGAAATAGGTTGCAGTCTATATTTGGGAAATGAATAAAAATCTGTTTTCCTTCAGATTTTGTTCCTTTGTGAAAAAACTGCATCTATATTGAAATGGAAAAATAGAAAACTTCTAATTTTTAAATATTTTTTTCATTTTTATTTTTAAAAAAGACATTAAATAATGAATTTTTTTTTTTTTCTTAAAAATTCTATACTGCTATCAAAAATTTAAAAATAATTTTTTTAGTTTTTAAAAAAACAATATTCTGCTTTTAAATGATTTAAGTACATTGTTTACCATTACATATTGAATACACAATCTTGTTTATATAAGCAACTGTACTCAAGTCTGATTAAATCTTAGACAACTCCATTACTGATGTTAATATAGCATAAACAAGTTAAAGATGTAAAATTAACCTGTGTTACTAAATATATTATTTTATACTGTATTCAAGCTACTAGTTTAGTTACATTGAACTGTGTTTCTATGCTATTTATTAGACCCAAGTCTAAAAAAGATTTAAGCAACTCTAGTCTTAGTTTAATTTATGTACAAGAACTATCCAAGTACAAGGAAAAGCCCTAAGTTTGCTTATTAAAAAAGAAATGGTAAAACTATAGCCATCATTAATTCAAATATTGTCAGATCTTTTGTAACATGTCTAGAATATATTCTCAAATGTTGAAGTCATTCCTTTCAT